TCTTAAAATATATATGGGACACCATCGAGACAATGAGTTGCTTAAAATAATAGATTTTTGCCTAAATTACTAGTAACACCTTGAAACAACTAAAGTTGACAACGTTTTAAAAAACAAACTTAGTGTTTACCTATTATGCTGGTTTGTTGTCCAATCTGAGAACATGAAAAACATACATAAGATCAGTAAATATCTCTTTCTGGTTCTCATTCCTTGGAAACTGTAGTAGTGTTTGGTAAACAGGATAATGTTTATTTTTATATTTAAAACTACAGCAGTTTTTGGTGATACTTTTAATACTTCGTTTAGGCCAAAATATACAAAACATCAGTGTTGCTACTTGTATGGAAAATCATGCAAACTTTTGTAGGTTACTTAGGGTTGCCAACTTCCTAATCGTACAAAGTCGAACACCCCTTCACCGCCCCTTCTCCAAGGCCCCATCCCTGCTCACTCCATCCCCCTGCCATCACTTACTTTTCCCCACCCTCACTCAATTTCACAGGGCTGGGGTTGGGGTGCAGGAGGGGGGTGAGGGCTCCGGCTGGGGGTGCAGGCTCTGGGGTGGGGCTGTGGATGAGGGGTTAGGGGTGTGGGAGAGGGCTCCAGACTGGGGCAGGGTGTCGGTGTGTGGGGGAGGTATGGGCTCTGGGCTGGGAGTGCGGGCTCCAGGAGAATCATAGAATCATAGAATATCAGGGTTGGAAGGGACCTCAGGAGGTCATCTAGTCCAACCCCCTGCTCAAAAGCAGGACCCATCCCCAATTAAATCACCCCAGCCAAGGCTTTGTGAAGCCTGACCTTAAAAACTTCTAAGGGAGGAGATTCCACCACCTCCCTAGGTAACGCATTCCAGTGTTTCACCACCCTCCTAGTGAAAAAGTTTTTCCTAATATCCAACCTAAACCTCCCCCACTGCAACTTGAGACCATTACTCCTTGTCCTGTCCTCTTCTACCACTGAGAATAGTCTAGAACCATCCTCTCTGGAGCTACCTCTCAGGTAGTTGAAAGCAGCTATCAAATCCCCCCTCATTCTTCTCTTCTGCAGACTAAACAATCCCAGTTCCCTCAGCCTCTCCTCATAAGTCATGTGTTCCAGACCCCTAATCATTTTTGTTGCCCTTCGCTGGACTCTTCCAAATTTATCCACATCCTTCTTGTAGTGTGGGGCCCAAAACTGGACACAGTACTCCAGATGAGGCCTCACCAATGTTGAATAGAGGGGGACGATCACGTCCCTCGATCTGCTCGCTATGCCCCTACTTATACATCCCAAAATGCCATTGGCCTTCTTGGCAACAAGGGCACACTGCTGACTCATATCCAGCTTCTCGTCCACTGTCACCCCTAGGTCCTTTTCCGCAGAACTGCTGCCTAGCCATTCACTCCCTAGTCTGTAGCTGTGCATTGGGTTCTTCCGTCCTAAGTGCAGGACCCTGCACTTATCCTTATTGAACCTCATCAGATTTCTTTTGGCCCAGTCCTCCAATTTGTCTAGGTCCCTCTGTATCCTATCCCTGCCCTCCAGCGTATCTACCACTCCTCCCAGTTTAGTATCATCCGCAAATTTGCTGAGAGTGCAATCCACACCATCCTCCAGATCATTTATGAAGATATTGAACAAAACTGGCCCCAGGACCGACCCCTGGGGCACTCCACTTGACACCGGCTGCCAACTAGACATGGAGCCGTTGATCACTACCCGTTGAGCCCGACAATCTAGCCAACTTTCTACCCACCTTGTAGTGCATTCATCCAGCCCATACTTCTTTAACTTGCTGACAAGAATACTGTGGGAGACCGTGTCAAAAGCTTTGCTAAAGTCAAGAAACAATACATCCACTGCTTTCCCTTCATCCACAGAACCAGTAATCTCATCATAGAAGGCGATTAGATTAGTCAGGCATGACCTTCCCTTGGTGAATCCATGCTGACTGTTCCTGATCACTTTCCTCTCATGTAAGTGCTTCAGGATTGATTCTTTGCGGACCTGCTCCATGATTTTTCCGGGGACTGAAGTGAGGCTGACTGGCCTGTAGTTCCCAGGATCATCCTCCTTCCCTTTTTTAAAGATTGGTACTACATTAGCCTTTTTCCAGTCATCCGGGACTTCCCCCGTTCGCCACGAGTTTTCAAAGATAATGGCCAATGGCTCTGCAATCACAGCCGCCAGTTCCTTTAGCACTCTCGGATGCAACTCGTCCGGCCCCATGGACTTGTGCACGTCCAGCTTTTCTAAATAGTCCCTAACCACCTCTTTCTCCACAGAGGGCTGGCCATCTACTCCCCATGTTGTGATGCTCAGTGCAGCAGTCTGGGAGCTGACCTTGTTAGTGAAGACAGAGGCAAAAAAAGCATTGAGTACATTAGCTTTTTCCACATCCTCTGTCACTAGGTTGCCTCCCTCATTCATTAAGGGGCCCACACTTTCCTTGGCTTTCTTCTTGTTGCCAGCATACCTGAAGAAACCCTTCTTGTTACTCTTGACATCTCTCGCTAGCTGCAGCTCCAGGTGCGATTTGGCCCTCCTAATTTCATTCCTACATGCCCGAGCAATATTTTTATACTCTTCCCTGGTCATATGTCCAACCTTCCACTTCTTGTAAGCTTCTTTTTTATGCTTAAGATCTGCTAGGATTTCACCGTTAAGCCAAGCTGGTCGCCTGCCATATTTACTATTCTTTCGACACATCGGGATGGTTTGTCCCTATAACCTCAACAGGGATTCCTTGAAATACAGCCAGCTCTCCTGGACTCCTTTCCCCTTCATGTTAGTCCCCCAGGGGATCCTACCCATCCGTTCCCTGAGGGAGTCGAAGTCTGCTTTCCTGAAGTCCAGGGTCCGTATCCTGCTGCTTACCTTTCTTCCCTGTGTCAGGATCCTGAACTCAACCAACTCATGGTCACTGCCTCCCAGATTCCCATCCACTTTTGCTTCCCCCACTAATTCTTCCCAGTTTGTGAGCAGCAGGTCAAGAAAAGCTCCCCCCCAGTTGGCTCCTCTAGCACTTGCACCAGGAAATTGTCCCCTACGCTTTCCAAAAACTTCCTGGATTGTCTATGCACCGCTGTATTGCTCTCCCAGCAGATATCAGGAAAATTAAAGTTACCCATGAGAACCAGGGCATGCGATTTAGTAGCTTCTGCGAGCTGCCGGAAGAAAGCCTCATGCACCTCATCCCCCTGGTCCGGTGGTCTATAGCAGACTCCCACCAATACATCACTCTTGTTGCTCACACTTCTAAACTTAATCCAGAGACACTCAGGTTTTTCTGCAGTTTCGTACCGGAGCTCTGAGCAGTCATACTGCTCCCTTACATACAGTGCTACTCCCCCACCTTTTCTGCCCTGCCTGTCCTTCCTGAACAGTTTATAACCATCCATGACAGTACTCCAGTCATGTGAGTTATCCCACCAAGTCTCTGTTATTCCAATCACGTCATAATTCCTTGACATCACCAGGACCTCCAGTTCTCCCTGCTTGTTTCCAAGGCTTTGTGCATTTGTATATAAGCACTTTAGATAACCTGCCAGAGGGGTTAGGAGGGGCCAGAAATGAGGGGTTCAGGGTGTGGGAGATGGCTCCAGGCTGAGACGGAGGGTGGGAGGGGGTAGGCTTCGGGGTGGGGCTGAGGAGTTTGGGGTGCAGGAGGGGGTTCTGGGCTGGGGCAGGGGGTTGGGATGTGGGGGCGGGTGAGGGTTTCAGCTAGGGGTGTGGGCTCGGGTTGGGCCGGGGATGAGGGGTTTGGAGTACAAGAGGGGACTCAGGGCTGGGGTTGGGATGTTGGGGGGGGGTCTGGGCTCCAGCAGGGAGTTTGGGTGCAGGACGAGACTCTGGGCTGGGGCAGGGGGTGGGGGTGCAGGGTCCCAGAAGCGGCCACCAGGTCCTTGCGGCTCCTAGGTACATGGGCAGCCAGGGAGGTGCCGTCTGCTGCCCTCACGCCTGCAGGTGGTGCCCCCACAGCTCCCATTGGTTGCAGTTCGTGGCCAATGGGAGCTGCGGAGCCGGCACTCAGGGCAGGGGCAGCGCGCAGCGCCTCCCTGGCCGCCTATGCACCTAGGGGCTGCAAGGACCTGGCTGCCACTTTCAGGAGCCATGTGGAACTAGGGAAGGCAGGGAGGCTGCCTTATCCCTGGGCCTCTGTTGCGCTGCTGACTAGACTTTTAACAGTTTGGTCGGCGGTGGCAACTGGAGGAACCAGGGTCCCTTTTCGATTGGGTGTTCCGGTAAAAAATCGGACACCTGGCAACCCTAAAGTCACTTTGGGGGAAACAATTTTTTTTCATATGTGCTATGGCCTTATTTCCATTTAAAGTGTATTTTATTTGTCTTGGTTATTTTATCTTTTTTGTGGGAGCAGTTAACTATAGACAAGACAGTGTGTATATACAAAAGCCATACCTATTTAACTGTCAGTTTTAAACTGATTTAAAAGTTAAAATCAGTGTCTAGATTGCCACATGAGGAAATTGTACAGATTTAATGGAATGAGTTTCTAAACCAGTTTAGTTAAAATCCATTTCTAAACTGATTTTAGTTAAATTGGTACAGTGTGTAGATAAAGCCTTAGTCACTAAGCTCTTGATCCTGCTCTGTGCTTAATGTTCTTCATTTCCACAGAAGTAACAGGGAGTTGAGAGTATTCACAATGTACCAAGATTGCACCTTAAACCTGTATCTTTTTTGTGGGAATGCAAGTATGCAAAATACCCCTCCCCGCCCTTAAAAGGAAGAGCCACAGAAGGGAATGATGGTTGCAAATGTGTGGTGTAGTATGATGTAACCAACATTTTGTAGTTGGTGATATAGTATTGTTTGGTAAACAAAAAAATAAGTTTGAATCTCAGTGAGACAAAATAATGGAGATCTGCTAGACATCTTTTTAAATGGTAGGGTTTATGTCTTTGCAGTGTCCTAACATTTAATCGAATCAGTAACAATGAAGATTGATATAATCAGGGAAGCAATGATAGTTAAAATATACTTCTGTTTTGCAGCCTACACTATATCCAGAGTGAGATGAGGCTACTGCAAAATAGTAGTCAGTCAGAGCTGGATGTTACTGAAGATCTGAGAAGGAAACTTCATCAAGCCAAAAAAGAAAAACTGGACATAACCACTAAACATAACCAAGATGTAAGTTTTTAATACTAGAAAAAAAATCAATATTTAAAATACTCTAAGCACTACAGCCTGTACTTTAGAGACTTCATGGACTTGTTTTTAAAAAAAAAAAAAAAAAAAAAAAAAAGCCAAGGGACATTACATAGCAGTGCCCACTTCCTGCCTCTTGAACATTTGATCCTGATTCTGCATGTGCTGACATGGAGCCTCACTGATTTCAGAGGACTTTTGTGTGTGTGTATGTGTGTGTGTGTGTGTGTGTGTTCAGGGGCTTACACACATGGAGTTTATTGCAGTACTGACATGTAAGTGAGGAAATCTTATTTAACTAGTAAGGGATCACTCCTTTCTCCTCCTCAGTCCCCCTTGCTGTGTGGTATTGTTGATCTGCTTTGTTTTGTGCTTTGCTGGTAGTGCAAGCAAAGTGAATTGTGGAGACCTGATGGAGCGTGATGCTGAAACATATGAGGTTTGAGCCATGCACCCAGAAAACATGTACACCTAAAGCAGGGTGATGCTGATTGGTGTGGAAAGCCTGAAACCTTTCAGCTTGCTCCCAGTGCCAACCCTCTGTTTCAAGTTTAAATGGTATGATTATCTACTGTAGATAAGGCTTTGGCCAGATCAGTGCAACCTGGTGAAATTAGAAGCACCTGGGCAACAAAATAATCACAATGGAATGAAATGACTACATGAATTGTCGTTTTGTATGAAAATGCATCCTGAAGAAAACCTAATCAGAGGAAATTGTTGTTTACCTATATCCACCAACCCTGTATGGAATGTCTCACTTTATTTAATAACAGCTCTGACAACAGCTGTTATGGTTAGTAATAAGTGGCATCAAACGAAGTGTCACTTTCCTGGTAGAGGATTGCTGCCTCCATTAATAATTCAATGACTGGGATTGCCTAATAGTGTACATGATTAAGATGACTGACTTGAGTTGTATCTTGTAATGAGCTATTTTTTATTTTACAGGCTATTAGGATTTGAATGCAGGTTATGTTTTTAATCCATCTGGAAGTCAATTGTAACTTGTAAATTAAGTTGGTGCAAAAACCAAAACCTCCAAATTGGACACACCTTAAAATGCTTCCAGCTGCTCAACTTGTGTAATTTTGAAATTCCACATAACTAATATTTTAATAATAAAATGTATAGAAGAATATTATGTTAACTCACTTGCATCTGTTGTTTAATGAATATTTCCTTTCAGACTGATTTCACTTTTATCGTATCTTAAAGGCTTATGCTTGAAAAATGTTTTACAATCTAAGTATTGAAATAAAGGAACAGTAGAGAAATCAAGAGAAGATTTAAAAAAAAATCTATTAAAGTGAACTTGAACATCAAGCTTAGCAGTATAAAGCATGTATATTAAAAAGTAAGCTTGACAGAGAGTATAGAAGCAGTGGTAATCAACTTTGGACCCGTCTACACTAAAACCATTTTCTAAGTGTCCCACTATTGCTATGACTTAGTTCAGCCCCCAAAATGGTTGGAATGTAGGGAATCCCAGTAAACCTGTTAGCAGCTGCCAGTGGTCTGTTAGTTGACTAGCTTTGCTCAGAAGTTTGTGCTACTTTTTTGAAAACCTTGGTGATGGCTAGCAACCCATCTATTTTGGGATTTCCAATGTTGCTAATGCTAGTATAGGTGAAGTGGTGTTAGGAATGGTGGGAAATACTTGTGAAATTTCTCCAGGGTTCATAAGTATATCCCCTGCCTCCCAAACTTTTTTTTTTTTTTTTTTTCACAAAATCTCAGTATGAAAGGAATTCCAAGGAAGTTGTATGGGCGGTTACAGTGATGAACTGTTTAAGGTGTAGGTCACAATGACTATGAAGCTCCCAAAGGCCTAAGACTTTCTTACCTCAGAGACTGCTCCTTTCCCTGTGATGTACTGCAATAGTTGTAGGATTGCCAGGTGTCCGGTTTTTGACTGAGACGCCTGGGGCCGGGTCGGTAGCACAGCCTGCTATGACTCTGTGCGGCTCATGGAAGCAACAGCATGTCCCCCCTCCAACTCCTATGTGCAGGGGCAGTCGGCGGCTCTGGACGCTGCCCCCACCCCAAGCGCCGGCTCTGCAGCTCTGAGAACCGTGGTCAGTGGGAGCTGCGGGGGCAGCGCCTGTAGACGGGGTAGCGCACAGAGCTGCCTGGCCACGCCTCCACATAGGAGCCGGAGGGGGGACATGCCGCTGCTTCCAGGAGCTGCTTGAGGTAAGCACTGCCTGGAGCCTGCACCCCTGACCCCCTCCCGCGCCCCTGCCCCAGACCTGATTCCCCCTCCCGTCCTCCAAACACCCAGCACGGAGCACCCTCCTGCACCCCAAACCCCTCATCCCCTGCCCTACCCCAGAGCCCTCACTCCTCCCTCCCGTGCCCCAACCCCCTGCCCCTGCGCCAGCCCAGAGCCCCCTCCGCACACTGAATACCTCAGCCCCAGCCTGGAGCCCCCTCCTACAACCCAAACCCCTCATCCCTGGCCCTGCCCCTGCTCCAGAGCTCTCACCCCCTCCCACATCCCAACCTCCTGACCCAGCCTGGTAAAAATGAGCAAGTGCACAAGGGTGGGGAGAGCGAGTGACAGAGGAAGGGGGGATGGAGTGAGTGAGGGGCGGGGCCTCAGAAAGAGCAAGGCAAGGCAAGGCAATTTGGTTCTGTGTGAGTAGAAAGTTGGCAAGCCTACATAGTTGCTGGAACCTTTTTGTTGTAAAAGAGAGGGAGCTGCTGATGGCATTTTCCAGGAGGACCCTGGGACTCCAGAATTCGCCCCTACCCCCCCCAGTCTGAAATTGATTACTTTCTTGGCACCCCACAAAACCATTAGTTTGATAGGATTTGGTGGGTGACACGGGGGAAGGGAAGGATTAATGCACATTCCTATGTGAGTTGCAGGCCAAAGGATTTTCTGAAGTGTTTCCCTGTGGGGCCCCCCCCTTTTTTTTAATTTGTCATCTGACTGAGTTAAATTGTAGTTTCCATTTGATTATTTAATGTTGATCAAGTTAATTATATATTAGTATTTATGCTGCTGGGTGGTTATTAGTCTGATTATTGTCCGCATACTCATTTAACAAACTGAAAAAAATGCTGATGCAAAAGCTCTAGTAAATACACCTGCAAACTGCCACTTGGATGCAATGTCTACCTCATTTGCAGCCATTTATTTAAAGGGAGGAGAGAACAATATTATAAAATTACAGATTTTTTTTTCAGATACTCTGCATGATTTTTAGAAGAACAAAGGAATGTTAGTATTTATATTTGCTTTACAAAACGTTATTGGATGAGTTCATTTTTAAAACAAATAAATAAAACCCCTTGATTGTGGTGTCCGGACTAGTATCCATTGACGTTCATTGCCATATCTTAGGGTATGTTTACACAGCAGTTGAAGGTGTGATGGCATACCCGCATGAGCATTAATCTAGTACAGCTAAAACTAGCAGTGAAGACATTACATCACATGTTTCAGTATGGCCTAGCAACACAGGTTCATACCCAGGATCCTTGGGGAGCTTATACAGCCCATTCTGTCAGATCTTCACTGACATATTTAGCTGTACTAGATTGATTTCAGTATTGGTTTACTCTTTAATCTCACCTCCAACCTCAGTGTTTACAATACCCTTAGGGACCAACCCTGCACCAGTGAAGCCAAGGAGTGTTTTTGTCTTTGACTTAAATGGAAATAAAATCTAGAAACTTTTAAAATCTTCTGGCCATAAACTCTGATTCTAGAAGGGACCAGCAGATCATCTAGTGTGACCTGTAGATCACAGGCCACCAACACCCATCCACACAATAAACCCAACAATGGAAATTAGCCCAAAGTACTACAGCCCACAGGAGACTAGACTGTTATTTGCTACAGGGAGAGAAAAGGAGGGAGAAAGGTGTACCAATGCCTGAGGACCCAGCAATGGCAGGGAATTGATTAAGTGAGATATTCCCAGATAATTCTGGTAAGTGACCTGCACCCACCCGCTGCAAAGAAAGACAAGCCCTCCTTTTACCCCTCCTCCCCATGGTCACTACCAATCTGATCTGGGGGGAAAAAATCCCTCTCTTTATTAGTGTTTCTTTGAAAAGTTAATACATAATTATAATTAATGATAGATACATTAATAGTTTCTTAAACTAATTCCTCTTCTAGCTGTCCAACTATGAAAGCCAGATTGCCAGGTTGCGATCTGAAGTTGAGAAAGGAGAGGCCATTCGACAAAGTCTGGAATATGAACTTGTCATTGCCAGAAAAGATGCTGGTCTTGAAAGATACTCTGCAGAGGAAAAGTTATGTGAAGCTAGCACTCGATTTCAGCAGCTGCAAGGTATGTTTCAAAAACGTCAAACACCCAACAGCGACTAAGTTTGTTAGTCCAGAGCCTCTGTATTATGAGTCAAGTAGACAAAAGATGTAGTGACTTAATTTGGTTTTCTAGTCATCCCTGGTTGGGTTGGTTTTAGCTCTACCTCATATTTCCAGCCTCCTCTCCAACTCCCTTTGTGAAACTATCCTGGATAGCCCATTGCCAAATTAAAACAAACATACTAAACCTCCCATCTCCTCTCCTTCAGCTCTTCATTCCCCACTCACGAACAACTCTTCTCTTGGTCTATCCTTTATATCAGAATCAAATTCCAAATATCGTCCTTGGTGTTCAGGTACATATCCTTGGTGGTATTTGACTCCTTTGTTCTTGTCTCCCCACATCTATGTTGTTACTATATCTTGTATATTTTATATAACTTGTAGTTCTTCCTTTTTTCTCCATTTCTATTGTAGAAACCTTTGCCTATGCCTGGTCACTTCTCATCTGGTCATTTCTCTGGTCTACTTTCATAGAAGAGTTAGAAATGAGATATAACTGCTTCTCTTTCTTCCCTGCAACTCTAATAATGTGTTACAGTTCTGGTAAAGTTCCTCCAGGTAAACAACTTGAAGAGTGTTTAAGTCCCACCATGCTAAGCCTGTGTGTTGTGAGTTCCTGAGCCTGAATAGGCTCCAGACTGGTTTCAGAGTGGCCTATAGCATACTTCCTGAGCACAGGTTGTCACCCCTTCACGGAAGTGGGACCTCACAGTGCACTTGCCCTAATCTCTCAGAACTAGTGCTGACTCCTCCATGGGCCACCCAGTGCCTTAAACACTCCCAGAGCTCCAATTTTGTGGGCACCATAGGTTACAGTTTACTTCTCCAATGACACCTAATAGTTGAAGCACACAACACAGAGACATCGTAAGAGATTCAAAAACTAATCATTCTTTACTTTAGATAGCACAGAATATATACATATCTACACAAAACAATAAAATGCCTTTTTGTATTTCCCTGCCTCAGTTTCCTCACCACTTTTGAGATGTTGTTTGGGATTAGGTCAGTCTTTTAAGGAGTCCTGGATCCTCTCTCTCCCTTTCCCACCTGCACATGGCTTCTCTTCTGGAATACGGAGTCTAGACTAGCCGTCAGCATCATTATCTCCTTCTCCCCACACTTTGAAATGGCTGATAAGAGATTTTTTTTATTACTTCCTGTCCCCTTTGTCAGGTGACCCATTGATCAGCTTCATCAGATGACCATAGTCTCCCAGCAAGTGATCCATTCCTTGTTACCAGCCCACCTGGAGTTCAGACTTGAAAAAATAGTTTGCTCTGGGCAATAACCATTTTAACTGGGTGCATTCACCACTCTAGCACCTCCTGCTGGCTGTCTTGGGAATTAACTCTGCACGTTAGCACACCCTCTTCAGGTAGTGCCTCACCACCCTCACTCCTGTTCTAGGACCCACATCTCTCCAAGGATCGCTGCATCCTCTTCAGCAACACAATCCTCCGGCTATGCCGCATGCTGTGCTTCCCCCCCCCCCCATTTTGGGGGACCTGCAGTCTGCTGTTCAGCCACTTTCCTTAGTGGCTACTGCATCAAATTGTCTGGCCACCTCCTTGTGGCCCCAGCATCCTCTTTGCCCTTACCTCAGGGTCTCCACTTGCAAACCCCAGCAACTGGCTAGGAGCTGTCTCTTGCTCCCCCAGTCCCTGCTCTGTCCAGGGGGCTGGCAGTTCTTTCAGCCCTCCAGAGACCCAGTCCTTCCTCCTTGGGCTTTCTGCAGAGAACTGCCTTCCTCTGTCCTGCAGTTCCCTTTTTATATGGGCCTGCATGGCCCTGATTGGGCGCTCCCTTCAGCCCTTCTCTTATTAGCTGCCTCCTGCGCAGCCTCTCTAGGGCTCTGTTAACCCCTTACAGCCCAGTGTGGGGCAGATGCCCCATCACAGCCATCTTTTTGCCTAAGAGTGCTCTATTTCGGGGGTTCTCAACCTTTTTCTGTCTTAGGCCCCTGCAACATGCTTTAAAAACTCCATGGCCCACCTGTGCCACAACAACTGCTTTTCTGCATATAAAAGCCAGGGGCGACGCTAGAGGTAGCAAATAGGGCAGTTGCCCAGGGCCCCATGTCACAGGGGGCCCCCCCAAGGCTACATTGTTCAGGCTTCAGCTTCAACCCCGAGTGATGGGGTTCAGGGCCCTAGGCTTCAGACCCATGCAGTGGGGCTTCAGCTTTCCACCCTGAGCCCCAGTGAGTCTAATGCTGGCCCTGCTTGGCGGACCCCCTGAAGCCTGCTCACAGCCCTCCAGGGGGCTCAGACCCCTGGCTGAGAACCACTGCTCTATTTGAATGGATCATCATCGAGACTTAGCTCCATTTTTAGCCTGGTGTAACCACCCCTTGGACTTCCATCCAAAGATGGAGGTAAAAAACAGCAGAGAAAGCACAGACTAGCCGTACCATCAAAATGGAGTTTGTAATTTGATATAGATATACACAGAGTTCATAATATCAAACATCCTCTGTATATAGATTTCCCAAAGCATCACATAACACTGTCCTCTTTGAATCTTTCTTCTGACTTCTGCAAGAAGTTTAAGCTGCTTTTGCTCAACTGTCTGCCTCTCAGCCATCATTTTCAACTTCTTTTTGTCCCATTCTTTATTCTCCTTCCATGCAACGTTCCTTACATTACAGTCACATGCAAAGTTTAAAAAAAAAACTGGGGTTTGTGCTTTTTTTCTTTACTTGTCATGTGTGAAAGAGGACTTGAGAGTGGTGTGTGGGTGTTGTTTTTAATGAAGCTTTTTTTCTACTTGTCTTTTATATGGCCTAATATACTCTGAAAGACTGAGTGGATAATTGGCAGGTTTGTGATTGAAAAGGGAAGTGATTTGTTATTGTTAAAATACACCACCTTTTTAGCTTAAATAGTTAAGATAAAATATATCTGTGTTTAGGATTCAGCAACCCCACTCATTCAATTAAGGGGCTAGAATGCTCTTAATTTATATTTTTGAGTTTTCCAAGAAAGAACACTAGATTTGACATGGCAATTACCTTAGAAATACCAGCCAAGTTGTTTTTTTTCTACTTCCTTGAAATTAAAAATCCTTTGGCTTTCAGGGGTGCCGTATATATTGCAAGGAGAAGTGGGGGGAAAAGGCACAAATTCAATGTGGTTTCTTTTGCAAGCCATCATTAAACACTGCAGGCTAAAGACTTAGTTGTTAGTTTCCTATTTATAGAAAAGTTCTCTATGTTCCTTCCTATACCTACTAATCATAGCATTCTTTTATCAGCTTTTCAGCATCTCCAATTTAATCATTGAGCATTGTAAGACACAATCTACCTAAAGTGCCAGCTGTCAAAATCTTGTTTTGTGACTATTTCTAGGTTTAATGAACTAATTAGCCGATGAAAAGAGTCCAGTCAGGATTATGTTGCTTCTCTGTTCTCTATCAGTTTATGGCTGAACGTTCATTCTCCCCAGTGGATTGGAGCCTTCTCCAGTCTTTTCTTGATTGCTTGCTGCTTAATGGCCCTCGTCTCAATGGTTTAATGCTTTATTAGATGGGCCCCTCTATGAGCTTGCAGTCTTCTTAGGGTTGCCAGGTGTCTGGTTTTTGACCGGAACACCCTGTCGAAAACGGACCTTGGCAGCTCCGTCCAGCACTGCTGACCGGGCTGTTAAGTCTGGTTGGCACAAGGCTGGCAGACTCTATACCTGGCTCATCAAGGCTCCCCAGAAATGGTGACATGTGCCTTGGCTCCTAGGCAGAGGTTCAGCCAGGGCGGCTCCGCACCCTGCCCCGAGTGCCAGCTCTGCAGCTGTGGGCGGAGGCAGTGTGTAGAGCCACCTGGCCGCACCTCCACCTAGGAGCTGAGGGACATGTTGACGCTTCCAGGAGCTGCCTGAAGTAAGCACCGCCTGCGCCCTACACCCCTTTCCCAATCCTTTGACCCAGCCCTGAGCCCTGTCCCACACCTAAACTCCCTCCATACCCCAAATCCCCTCCTGTGCTCCAACACATTACTCCAGTTCTGAACCCGCTCCTGCACACCAAAACTCTTGGCCCCAGCCCGGAGCCCCCCTCATGTACTCCAAATTCCTCATCCCCGGTCCTACCCCAGAGCCCACACTCCAACCCCCTGCCTCAGCGTGGAGCCCCCTCCCACACTCTGAATTCCTTGGTCCCAGCCTGGAGCCTCATCCTGCACCCCAAGCCCCTCATCCATGGTCCCACCCAGAGCCCTCACCCCCTCCCGTGCCCCAACCCCTTGCCCTAGCCTGAGCCCCCTCCTGCACCCTGAACCCCTCATTTCTGGCCCCACCCTGAAGCCTGCATCCTCAGCGGGAGCCCTCACAGTCCCCCCGCCCCCAACCTCAACCTCCTGCCCCAACCCGGTGAAAGTGAGCGAGGGTAGTGGGGAGCGAGCAACAGAGGGGGGGGATGGAGTGAGCAGGGGGAGGGGACTCTGAGAAGGGAAGAGGCCTTAGGGAAGTGGGTGGGGCAAGGGTGTTTGGTTTTGTGCGATTAGAAAGTTGGCAACCCTAAGTCTTCCAGTCTTTTCTGTGGATTCTTCTTTCTCCTCTGGCAACCTTTGGTTTGTGCCATTAATTATCTTTTTCCCCTTAGTTTATCCTGTCTGTAACCCTTTTTAGAAAATCTTTTTTCTTTTTTGCACTTTTAAAATTTAGAAGAAATGAGAAAATGATCGTGGAAGGGAGGAACTTGTGAAGATCTCTGCATTTGAAAGTTGTGCTCAGTTACCTCTCAGTACCACACTGTGTATTAAGTAAAATGAGAAACTGAAATAATGTAAAGTTAGCTTAATATGAAATCCACATCTGAAAAATGAACCACTACTTCGTAGCTGATCAACCATATACATAAAATAGTAATAGTAACACGGGTTTCAACAGACCATACTGGCAGCATCTTTAGTTTAGTTTAGGGCAGGGGTACAAACACAAATACATACAATCTTGACTCTATAATATACCATCCTATCCTGAATGGGATTTCCTGTCATGGAGGTTGAGCTTCCTTTAACAACAGAGAGTTTCTTTGGAAAATGTATTCCTTTTCTGTCCAGTCTAACTTATATTTCAGGATCTTCTATAGCTCCTGCACATGTATACCCCAGTGCGAATCTTCACTGAAGTCAGTGAGGCTCTGGGTCAGTGTAAAGGGGCTCAATCACTTGCATGCAGTTGTAGAGTTGGAGTCTAAATGTTTCCTGCAGAGTAAGAGGATTTTTAAAGAGGCTAAGTTAGGTCAGGCTGCATATGGGGCAACAAGGAAGCCCAGAATAATTTAGGATTTGTTGTTTTATTTTTTTTTTTAAAGGATTAAGAGTTAGAGTCGGGTAGAAGAGTTGGGTCCTGTAATGGGATTTGAAGAAAATCAAGTGAAATATAGAGAGGCTGTTCACAAGTATGGGAAGGCAGTGAGTGAGATCGATCCCCCAATTTGGAGGGGTTGGGGAAAGAGACAGAAGGAAGTCTGGTATTCAGAGAGTATATAGAATTGTTAGAAAAGGGAATTGAGATTAGGTAAGGGAATTGAACCTTCAATTAATTGTATACTGGATTTTGAACTAAATGAGAAACTAATTAAGATTTGGGGATACAGAGACTGTGTTCCCCCTATTGGACATAGTGATCTTTAGAGAGCTGGGAATTACAGTAGTTGGAGACAGGAGAAATCAGTATGAATCACGGTTGAAAGGAAGAGTACTAGAGTATTGGGCAGGGCAGTGTTACAGTTATACATGTGACAGACGGCAGATGTGGTGAGTTCCTAGCTTCTAGATGGTATGTAATGGATACCAGGATAACCTATATAGAAGGGAGAAGTAGTTGGTAGAGCTTTTGTCGAAGGATGCTCTTATCTGTTAGCAGACTATCAATATTGAATTGGGCTGAAGGAAGTTAAGGTGAAGACAGGAGTTGAAGCTGAAGAAAGAAAGCCAAGTAAAAAGACACCTAGTGAAGGAGATACAGAAAGTGATATCTGTGTACAAGTGATACCCAAAACAAAACATGGAAATCAGTTGGGCAAGGGGAACGAACTATATGGAAATATGAAGTTAACCACTCCAAGTTTCAGTCTCTCCATTTTACAAATGGAGTTAATTCTTAACTATTCATAGGGATGTTGTGAGGTTCAATTTATTAAAGTCTGTAAAGCATTTTGAGATCTCTTATGAAAGATGCTACAGAAATGCAAACTATTGATATTATTGCTGCAGTATAATATCAAAAGTAATCTACAGCTCCAGAATCATTACTATTCTAACCTTTTTTCTGTTACATGCTTAAAGGATCTGAATACATAGTAGAGCTAACACTACTTTTACCTTCTTTAAAAAAAATTAACTTAGCAGACGATGTTTCTCTTTTAAATAATAGGCATGAATGCAGAGCTTCAACAGAAATTGGCTGAGACCGAGAAAGTGTTTCATATTTCTCAGCAGAATTGGAAGGAACAGCAGCAAAGACTTACAAGTGACTTAGAAGAGAAAGATAACATCCTCAAGACCTGTAATAGTGAATATGAGTTACTTCTGAAGGAGAGGACTAAACTGGAAAATGTTATACAGGTATAAAGTTTAAATACAAGTAATGAATAGAGTGACATAATAATGTCTGGACTTTTTATTTGTGCATGAATAATTTTTTTCTGAACAAAAGAAAAAAGTCAGACAATGTTCCATAGAGTGTGAAATATTTCAGCACAGACTTACAAAAGTACACTCTTTCTTCCTTTTGAGGGTTATACTGTAGCAATATACAACTCCTGAGTCACTGATTCTTATATAAAAAAGTCTCCAAACTTACTACTTTTAAAAAAACAAATTTTGTATATGGCCTGTGTGAAATGGAGAGAAGCTCCACTGATGGTTACAGTGGAAACATTAGTGTAGATAGGGCTGCAGTTAGTTGCTGGTGTTCTAAACACTCAGAACAGGGTGACACAGTGATGACTTTCGGTGCCTAGTCTAAGCTAGCATTTCTGCAGGTGGTGCTGAACTGTTGGTGCCAAAATTTTCTGCCATTTGGCAAAAATGCCTCGTACATCAAGACAGATTGTCAGGCTTCTTCTTATATTGCAGTTGCATGCTGCTCTTCAGATAAGTCTTTGCGTTAATTTGTATTCCAAAACAACAACAAAATTAAGGCACCCAAACAACTTTATTGTGCCCTGTGGTGACATCTTGCCCTAACTGTGCAAGAGGGTACATCTCCATTTGAACTGGAGCTGTAAGTCCCAGCTTGTGTAGATATACCGACACTAGGTCGTCTCAAGCTAGTGTGCTAAAAATAGCAGTGTAGCTGGGGTAACACAGGTGGCAGCTCAGCTAAATCATACCTCCCAGCTCAAATGTAGATATGCCTGATGAGAAGTGACTGTCCACAAACATGACAGAGAGAAAAAGAGCAGATCACTCCTTTAGAGCCCATCTTCATGTATTTAGACAAGGGGGGAGATTCTTGGATATTCCCGTTTTCCTCTTTTATTTCTCCTTTTAAGACTTCACATTGAGCTGAGAACAGTTGGACATGGTTTCTTCCAATCCAATCAACTCCATTCCTGTGCTAGCCTCAAGGAGTTCTGAGAAGTAACATGAAGCGTTCTAGGTCTTGGGTAGCCTAGAAGCTAAATCCCAATCCGTGCAAGCCTACGGGTAGGACGCTAGTCATGGAAGTGATTTTTTAAATACACTTTCAGCCCAGATCTACATGTCTGTAAGACTAGACAGCAAGGATTAAATGGTTCTTTGAGGCACAGTAGATTTGATATTATTATATGTAACACTTTTTTAAATAGGATTTTGTAACTTCTTATGAGTTTTAATAATAAAACAAGACTGTCTGCATCAAGGAGACTCTGGAGCATCACAAGGAGCAGAGGAATATGCTGGAATCGCAAATCAGAGAGACAGCATTAAAGGAGTTTAGGTTTCAGTTAGAGCAGTGTGAAGCAGAAAGAAGAGAGTTCCAGTTTATGTTGCAGGTATTTTATTTATAATAAAGCACTAACTAAAAAAAATGCCTATTATGTACATAGGATAAGCCAAGCATCATACCATCGCTTAATTCATTTTATTAATAGATCATTTAATAGCTGTCAAAGCTTTAATTAATTTTAAAAATCTTGTGAATATAGTAATTGTGAAAGGTGTTGACCTATTTGATCCCTGGAGATTGAACTACACTATTTATCCACAGAGCAGGGAAGAATGGGCAGCAGTAGCTTTTTAAAAAATCAATGTCTCTTTCTTCTGTGCAGGGGAAAGTCCACAGATCCAGTACCGTTGGTCTTCCCCTTTAAAGAGAAGGCAATTAATTTTTCATCTCCATTTGAACCCAGGCCATTCTTCTAAGACTGTCAGCAAGCATGCCAGTTGTGTAATTGACTTTGAAGTGGACATTGTCTCTAACCACTAAAATTATTTTGCACAGGCCACTGAAGATAAATCTTGGTCACTACTGACCTGAGCTGAATATAAATCAGTTAAGCTAATGGTGAAAAGTTGAGTCATGTCACTAAATCACTGGTCCCCCAAACATTCAGACCCCTATTTTTGAGGCTTTAGTTATGATAACAGATAGTTACACATTATATTATACATTTAACAAATGTCTGCAGTGTCCTGATGGAACAATTACTGTGTCTCTATTTGTATCAGAAGATGTATTAAGAATTGTTCTGGTTCAACAAGTAGGAGGACTACAAAAGCCAGTCTGAGTAGTTACATTAGACAAATGCTTGATGAAACACCCCATAATGAAACTTTATTTTCTCTATCTCTACATTTATTAAAAATACTGAATCTTCTCCTGTGTAACTTTAGAACATGGTTATTGATCCATTCCACTGTTTGTAAATAAGTCCACAAGTATATGTCAGGTGCTATTTTTGTTTTTTGTTTTTAATTTACCTCAAACCTCCCATACTCTTTTAACTAAATGGTTTAAATTTAGATCCTGGGTCAGATTTTTGCTGTGACTTTAGGAGCAATGTATAGAGAACGGAGCAGGGAGAATCACTCCCTGTATTTTGATTCCCAGAGCAATCTTTACATTCTGTTTGAAGGTAGGACCTAGTAATGATGCTGTGCTGGTGAAATGATGAGCAGAAATCAAGTAGTAGGCTGGTGCTGTGTGCAGTGTATCTGTGTCTTTCCTTTTTTCTTTTTCCCCTTTTTTTTTTTTTTTAAAACTGCTGAAGGTCCTGTATTATTAGAGGCTGTCCATAAGTTACATAACACATTTTTGTGGATTTTCTGTCCCTTGTAAAACTTTCTAATACTGAACAAACACACACAATTAAGGACCCACCTGCCCCTTAATGTGTTATATAATTTATGGATAGCCCCTTAGTAGTAGTAGTAGTAGTAATAGCAGTAGGAGCGTGGACACTGGTGATGGACCAGGACCTGTGATGGGGTGTTTGTTTACCCCATACAAGAGTGGAAGGGGTTAATGGAGGCCTCATGGGCCTTCCGCACTCTGTTCCATAAAAGCTGGATGAATGCACTATAAGGTGGATAGAAAGTTGGCTAGATTGTCGGGTTCAACGGGTAGTGATCAATGGCTCCATGTCTAGTTGGCAGCCGGTATCAAGCGGAGTGCCCCAATGGTCGGTCCTCGGGCCGGTTTTGTTCAATATCTTCATAAATGATCTGGAGGATGGTGTGGATTGCACCCTCAGCAAGTTTGCAGATGACACTAAACTGGGAGGAGAGGTAGATACGCTGGAGGGCAGGCATAGGATACAGAGGGCCCTAGACAAATTAGAGGATTGGGCCAAAAGAAATCTGATGAGGTTCAACAAGGACAAATGCAGAGTCCTGCACTTAGGACGGAAGAATCCCATACGCCGCTACAGACTAGGGACCAAATGGCTCGGCAGCAGTTCTGCAGAAAAGGACCTAGGGGTTACAGTGGACGAGAAGCTGGATATGAGTCAACAGCGTGCCCTTGTTGCCAAGAAGGCCAATGGCATTTTGGGATGTATATGTAGGGGCATGGCCAGCAGATCGAGGGACGTGTTCCCCTCTATTCGACATTGTGAGGCCTCATCTGGAGTACTGTGTCCAGTTTTGGGCCTCACCTACAGGAAGGATGTGGAAAAATTGGAAAGTCCAGCGGAGGGCAACAAAAATGATTAGGGGACTGGAACACATGACTTATGAGGAGAGGCTGAGGGAACTGGGATTGTTTAGTCTGCGGAAGTGAAGAATGAGGGGGGATTTGATAGCTGCTTTCAACTACCTGAAAGGTGGTTCCAAAGAGGATGGATTTAGACTGTTCTCAGTGGTAGCTGATGACAGAACAAGGAGTAATGGTCTGAAGTTGCAGTGGGGGAGGTTTAGGTTGGATATTAGGAAAAACATTTTCAGTAGGAGGGTGGTGAAACATTGGAATGCGTTACCTAGGGAGGTGGTGGAATCTCCTTCCTTAGAAGTTTTTAAGGTCAGGCTTGACAAAGCCCTGGCTGGGATGCTTTAGTTGGGGATTGGTCCTGCTTTGAGCAGGGGGTTGGACTAGATGGGCTCCTGAGGTCCCTTCCAACCCTGATATTCTATGAAAGAGCAGTGGAAGTGAGTCCTCCAAGCAGCCTAGAGAGGCTGTGCTGGAAGAAGCCAATAGAAGAGAGGCTGTATGGAGCAGATAATCAGGGCCCAGCGGGCTAGTACAAAAGGAGCTACAGGGTGGAGCAAGGGTCAGTTGCAGCTGGGAGCCCAAGGAGTGAGGACTGTGTTCTTGGCAAGCTGCAGCAAGGATAGCACCTTGGACAGAGCAGTTGCTGGCAGGGACCCCAGGGACCTGACTGACTGCTGGGACTTGCTAGCTGAAAGCCCTGAGGGGTGAAGGAGGTGCTACTGCTATGGGAAAGTGGCCTAGGGAATTGAAGCAGCATTGAAGGAAGTTAAGGAGACTCAGCAGGAGGCTACTATCTACAGGGTCTCTGCGCTGGGACCTGGAGTAGTGGGTGGGCCTGGGTCTCCCATTAGCTATGGGGGAAGTGGCTGGAATAATTGGCTGAACCCTGGAAGGGGAAAATACAGATGATGATGATTGGCTTGAGGGCTGAGTCATGAAGAGGATGCTGAAGTACTTGGATTGAGGCTGGTCTGCAGGTGTAGATGATGATGGGAGAGGCAGTACCAGGAGGGGGCGCACTGGCAGAGCTAATCCCTGTGACAGCCACCAGGAAGTGCCACCATGATGATCAGACCCTGTGGTAGGACCCGATTGGGCTAAGTGCTGTACGAACACAGAACAAAACGGTCCATACCCCAAAGAGCTTACCAGCTAAATATAAGATAAGAGACAACATTTGAAGTCAGACAGATGGGTGAGTACAAGCAGACAATGAAATGATATTTGTCAGCGTAGAGGCAGTGGTATTGGTGCACCAGTGACCCAACTGTTATGTATTTTGTTTTTTTGTTTTTTGTTTTTTGTAGGCATCTTGGCAAAGGAGAGTTTTAAGGAAGAGTTTTAAAAAAGATGATGCCCGGGTTATGGCCTGAATGACTGGCAGGATTGTGGTGTTGTCCACAGTGATTGAGAAAGGAAGTAATAAGGAGGAAGGAGATTAGGAGCTTTGTTTTAGTGATATTGAGCTTGCGCTCATGGCTAGATATCCATGACTTGATGTCACAGAGAGAGAGAGACAGGTGGGGACAGAAAGAAACAGGTCTGGAGTAGAGAGGTAGATTTGTAAGTCATTGGCATGGAGATGGTGGTTGAATTTGAGATTACCTTAAATTGCAGAGGGAGAAGATAAAGAGACCAAGGATAGAGCCCTGTGGACTCCCCTCCGCCTTCCACAGAAAGATTGAGGCAGATGAGGAGGAGCCTCCACAGGATATGCAGAAGAAATAATTAGAGAGGTGAAAGAGAACCAGGACAGGTCAGAGTTATGGAAGTGAAGGCAGGATGAGATTTCAAGAGGAGCATGGTTGACTGTGCCAGAGGGGCTGACAGGTCAAGAAGGATGAGGATGGAGTACTGGTTCTGAGCTTTGTATAGGAAAAGTGGTCATCAGAGACTATAGTAAGAGCAGTTACAGTCAAGTGCAAGGGGTAGAAATTTGATTGGAGAAGGTCTAAGATGGAATTGGAGGAGAGGAACTCTGAACACGCCATCTATAATTGCTGTCCAATTAGTTTAAAGTTGAAAGGGATTTGGTGGAATAAAGATATGGGGCTGTTTGGGGGGGGTCCCCCATATTAAATTTACAGAGGTCAAGGAGGTAGGGTTGCTGATCAGCTGGTGTAAAGATAGCAGCTCCTTATTCCTAGAATAGCCCTGAGATGGGATCACTGCTCTGAGCTTCAGTGTCTTTACCCAGTAGCAGCAGCAGGCTCCTTTCCTCACAGGGTGGCTGCACTCTGCCCTTATTACTCCTCTGCTTTGATTTGAATCTGCATTTTCCCTCATGGGCTTTCTATTCTTCCTAAGATACCATGTAAATATGGATTTTTATTAAATATATACTGACTGTCTCAATCACTAGTTGATAGTAATTATCTGTGGTTTAGTTTTAAATTCTGTTTTGTTTGATAGCCAGATTTGACGTGTGAGTAAAAAATCAGCAAGCAGCCACAATCATGGAAGTTGAATGCAAAAGTGTGCCAGTCTCTCTGACATTGAGCACTTACAGCTACATTTAAAATACTGACCTCTAGTTGTGTACTCAGTTATATTTGGGTGTGAAATTGAAGGACAAGTTGAGGTTTCTTTTAAAAATGTGGGCCTTAATCTGTATTTTGAAAGCTAGAGGAACAGTGTAGTGCATAAACTCTTGAAGACAGGCTTGGAGTTAATGTTCATAACAGGATACAGAATTGAATCCAGCTTAAACTATTGAAGTGTGTCTTTAGGAGACAGAGGGAAAATAATCTGCTTTCTAACACACTGCAGTGTGGCTCTCCCTTGTGTGCTTGGAATGCTAGCTGGTTTACAACTAAGAGGCATAAATTCAGTAATAAATGCAAT